ATCTTGGGGCACTGTGGTGAAGAGAGAGAAAAAGAAGGAAAGGGTTGAATACATGAAGTTGAGATTTGTACATTTATCTTTCCTAAAGTAAATATGGCTGCTTCTTAGCTGGTACAAATTGCTATTACTTACCAGCAACTACATCAGAACTGACTACATAATTTTCGGGACACAGTGCAAAAGGAAAATTCAGGATCCCTTGTTAAAAATTATTAAGAATTTCAAGCAGGAGACAGCAGAGCTTTAAATCAAGTAGGAAGCCCTTCTAAGCACAGGAACTTGTGTGATGGTAGATCACCTAGCCGTGAAGCCAGCTCTTACTAGAATACTCTCATAGGTTAGCAACTGGGAGAAAGGGACTGACCAGATCTGATTAAGGAAGCAGTGTACTCCCAAATTCCTAGGCGACCAGAAGCTCAGTGGCAAGCAGACAGTTTGGCACATCAGTTTCCAGGGAAACCCTCTAAGGACTGTTTAAATAAGACTCTGGAGATAGACACACAAATGACTATTTGAATGACCTGCTGGATAATGAGCTATGTGTGACCACTTGTTGTAGACAGCCAACACTTACTGCACTATAAATGCAAGCTGATCCCTTGGCTGGAGACAGTGGAAAGGTTTAAGGATAATAGTGCTATGCTCTCTCATATTAGAAAGAAAAATATTAGATAGTATAAAATATATAAGGCATGAAAGAAGCTTGTCTGGAAAATTCTCTTTAATAATTTAATGAAACAAAAGAAAAAAATTAATGTGGGTTGATGAGTCTACTATTTTATCTTTGTGTATAGGTTTGCATTATGTAAATCATTTCTACTGGGCCTTGCCTATTTGCACAGTGCCTTAATGTATTCAAGGTGTCTCTAATATCTATATCTCATACATGAGGAACATGAGTTTCAGTAAAAGAAAGTGATTCCAAAATGTCACAAGTTTGGCAAGTAATTGAGCTAGAACTAAAAAATAACTTCTATTTATTGAGGGTACACTATGTGCAGACACCATACTAAGCAATTTCCATGTATTATTTGTTTGGTTTTTATTAGTCAGAACTCTTTCAACTGAAAGTGACAACACACCTTACTCAAACTAGTTAAAAAAATATATATATTTTTCTTGTTTAACTGAATATCCAGAAGGCAGCTATGCACATAGCTGAATTTGTTGTCAGGAACTTATTTCACCGTCTTTCAGTTTTTCTTTCCTATGCATTGTTTATTCTCAAACGGAGTCTCTGCATGTGGTAGCAAGGATGGCTCCAGCACCTCCACCTTTGCGAGGTTTTAATACCCCTGATCTCAGAAAGAGATTCCCACTTACCTAATTCCCAGAGAGGCCCGTTCCTGTGTAAATCACAGGGGCAAGTGCCTGTCTACTGAGCCGACCTAAGTCGTATGGGTCTCCCTGGAGCTAGAATAGAGCTAAGTCATTCCTTAACATGTAGACTGAGAACGAAAGATGGCGTGTGGTTTCCAAAAGTTGTCTCAGGGCATTACTATAAAAAAGGGGAAGTGATTCTGGGTAGGCTTTAGTAACAGACACCCATTGCAAAAGGTATGGTTATTATTTACATTTTACACACTAGCAAAGTGAGGCATAAAGAAAAAAAAGAAGAAGCTCTATTTCACTGTAACTATATTGTAGTTATAGTGCTTTTCCTAAGGATATAAAAGCAGTATCCCAATTCTGTAGAACAATAAAAAGGATTTATAGTTGTGAATAAATATATTGAAGGAATACCATTCTCACCACCCTCAGAAGAAAAACATTTGATAACTGTATTATCATCTTCAAACAAAAGGGTACAGACATGGCTTTATGTAGACATAAGTAATTGGCAGTTTTATGGCCATTCTGGAATGTGTGTCTCTCAGTGACTAACATTTTAATGGGAACACACTTACTACTTGAAAAAACATAAATCCACAGTGTGAACTCTGAGTCCTTTGCCTATTCATCTTGGCATCCATACTGCCAGACTCACTGAAGGCCCTCAGTAATTTCTTTGTGCATCAATAAGTAAAAATGGGTGGAATGCAATTCAAGTCTACTTACTTAGTAGTAAATGATACAACCCAAAGGTACCTCAGAAATATTTCCTATATGGGCAACTCATCATTACTAGCAAAACAAAAACTAACTAAAATAAGAAAAAAAGCAATGCATAAAAGTAGGATTCTAGCTGTTATTGCAAATGAGTCAAAAGAAGGTTTTGTACTTTCTTTTTATTAGCTCAATTTTATAGCTGTTCTTTGTGTAATATTTATAAATGGCTATGAACCAAGTATGTTTATTGTGAATCCTGTCAGAAGAAAATGGTGATTTATGTAAATTTTGCTCTCATATTAGGTTAAAACATTAGGAAAAAACAGAACCAGTTGTCTCGTTTGGGAGTATTTAATTCTTTTCAGAGCTGATAGTTTTATCTTTGGGAACCTTTGAAATCAGGATACCTTTTTTATGTGGTTTTATTTGGGATTATATTATACACAGCCTCTACTCAGTCACTACTCAAGAGAGAGATCTTTGTTGTCATATAGAATGGTAGTGATTCTTACAAGCTACAGCAGGAAACCACAATTCTCTATTGCGAGTTCTTTAAAAAAATAAAAGAACATGCCCTTTATGATAACATGAACTAAAACAAAGATTTTACACCTCCATCTTTGTTCTGAATTTTCTTTCTTTTTTTATGCCCACTAATTCATTCAACAGATATTTAGCAGGAGCATGTTTGCTCACGTATGCATTCACTTGCACGCACGCGCGCGCGCGCGCGCGCACACACACACACACACACACACACACACACACACACACACACACACACAATACCACACAGATCTTGCCCTGGCTGTTAAAATTTTGTGGCTTTCAGGTTAGAGTTTTTGGTCTGTTGTATTCCCCTAGAAGTTTCCTCTGCTCATTGTGATGGATTGTTAATAGAAATTGGGAAACACCTCCAAACACGTTCATCTATTTTCAATTGAGACCTAATATCTGTACAACATCTCCAAAGGTTTCTTCGCTTCCAATTTTTACTTGCATTACTTGTCTTCCAAGACAATAGTCCAAATTGTTATCAGGGCTGATTTTAAGGAAGCTGCTCAGTGAAACAGAGAAATTTCAGAGCCTTTCCATTATAGCTAGATCCTACAAAGCTTTGAGATTGTTTTTATTTTTGAGTAGAGTTTTAAGAAGTAAATTTTAAATTACGGAGTGTACTTGGAAGCTTCTAAGATGTGCCCAAACTGTGGCTCCTCAGAAGTTTCGAGGATTGTTCTACCAAATTCTGTCTTGCTTTTCTGTATAATTTTTTTAAATTTTATTTATTTTCATTTATTTATTATATTTTTTTTTAGTTTGCACTGTTTTAAAGTTGAGGGTTTTTTTTATTAAAAATTATTTTGAGTCTTTCACTTTGGTTCTTTAAATAAACTATACACATGAAATGCTGTCATAGTAAGTTAAAACATTAGGAAAAATGGAACCACTTGTCTTATTTAAGAGTACTTCATTCTTTTCAGAGCTTATAGTTTTATCTTTGGAAACCTTTGTAATCAGGACATCTTTTTATGTGGATTTTATGTCAGTGTAACTCTTGCCTCTGGAATAGAAGCCGATTTGAGATGGCAGATTTGAGATTTGTAGTGTTAATTACAAAATGATTCCTAGTTGTAAAATCTTGTACAATTTAGTTCAAGTTAACTCTTCTTACTGATATTTCTCAACAGAATTAAAAAATGCTGCGGTATCTGTTGATCATAATGCATATTTTCAAATCATAAATTTATAGTTATAATTTAAAACAATAAGTTGATATTTATGAATCAGCTCATTAATTATTTTAATAGAAATAAATTTTGGTTAGTAAATATATTTCTACCTTACCAAACTACTCACAAATTTACCTTCACCTCATATTGCTAAATAGCAATGAATTTCTTCTAAACCTAAAATTTATGTGATTAGTAGAGTATCCTAATTATATACATAGATAATGCTTATGTTACTACATGAAACTATCTTAATTATAAATCTTGACATAAATAACAGTTTCTATATGTCAAACATTTACTTGGGCATCTCCTTTTTTTGGTCATCTGTAATTGGGAAATATGAGTAAATTTCTTTGCTTTAGTTTATTCGAACCACCTAATTTCAAAATTTCATCTACATTTTGAGACTATCCAAAGAAACATGCTTCCAAATAATAAATTCTGAAAACAGTAAAATTATTCTATCAATAGGTATCCACACCTGAAATAAAACCAGTTATGTATCTTCTTTGAAAATTATTTTCAATTATGAATGAAACATTTTACCATGTCCAAACTCTCTCATCTCTACAGATCAAATGCCATTTTTCCAGTACTCGTAACTTGTACTATAATTGTTACAAAAATTCACTTGTAGTAATCTTTCTTCAGATAATGAAATTGTTGTGTGTCAATATTAACAAAATGATGGGAGTGTCACTTTATAATGCTGGTTTGGAGGAGTAAGTAATATTCTTAAGGACCAAACTTAAAGTTAGGTATTACATTCCAAGTCATTCATTATATTATATTCATTATTATTCATTATATTCATTCATGTATTTATTATATCCCAAGTTATGTATTATATTCCATAATATTAATATAATACAATATAATGTGTGTTATATTCTGAACACTTAGTTCAGAACTTTTGACTTAAGATATTTGGTGATTGTTTCTCTCATAGTTAAGGCTACACCAAATATGTGCAAAAAAATATAAGATATTTGTGTCAGTTTCTTTCAAATTGTATGTAATCTCAATTTAAATATATGAGATTTGTAATAAATTCACCATATTGCAAATGGTAGTAGCTCAATATATACAGTATGTTTTTGATGACTGAATACTTGTATAAATAATATTGTTTAAGTTCTAACTATGTCTTATGTCTAAATATCTTTCTTTCCTTTTAAAACATATTGGAACATCTCATTGTTTCTTTCTTTAATTTAGATCAGGGTACTGTGCAAAAGGTGGTGGTTCTTCCTACTAACAGCTCTGCCAGCGGTGAGCTCATTCTGGAGGAGTTGGAAGTCTTTAAGGTTTGAATATCTTTTCTATTAATTTCAGAACATGCAAGATAAGTGGAATTCTTTAATCTTACAGATACTTGGGGGGAAAAATATTTGATAAAAGATCAAATAAATGAATGTTATAAATTTTTGAGGGTAGGAAAACATCAGATAAAATGAAAAATACAGGAAAATATTTTTGTAAAGTATTTTGTTACATTTCAAGTTATCTTAACATAAAAGCATTAGTTTTTTTTTTCAGCTATCATCACAACTTGAAGAATTTTGGTCATCATTATTTTTAAAAAATGAGTTCTAGTGTTCAAGGTCTAGAAGATCTTGCCATGAAAGGGCTTTTATCATTTGCTTCACAAGCCACTGAAACTCAAATGCTTTCACATTATTGATTGTTAGATAAGCTTTCTTATATTATTTTAGCCAGTAATTTCAAGAAAAACTACTTTGTTTTCTCTTGTTTTATTGCTTTTAATTCAAATGTCACCCTAGTTAAATAAAACAAATGTTTCTTTACCACTCAGAACTTCATGTTCTATCAGAACTTGAGATTTCATTGTGTTATTCTCCTTGTCCTTGAATTTGGGATTTTTTTTTAATATAAAAAAGAATAAGAAAACACAGCAAAACAGGTACACAGAGGGAAGTTCAGTCCTATGAGATTTCACCTGGTCGGGGCAGAGTGCCTGTTCTTTATGCATCTGAGAGCCAGGAGAGGGGCATTGTGGTGTCCTGCCATTCCCTTCTCTCCTTACAGTTGTTCACTGTAGTTCAAGAGGTCCTTTTTATCTGCATTTGGAAAGATGGGTAAAGCACAGCAGAGGAGCTATTAGAATTGAAAAGAAACTGGCATAGAATCAATCCTGCTGCAGGCCTCTATTTCCAACTAAACCAAGTAAGAAACAATGGCTTAGGGACAACAAAAGAGCAGAGTCAGCCCATGACTGAGTAAAAGTAGCACTTCAGAACTCCCAGTAGCAGAATATTGCTAGTACAGCAAGTTGCTTTGTTTGATTCAGTGGACTCAGAATGTATTGACTCATTAATATACATTCCCATGTTCACGCACAAAAAATTGAATTTATAAGCAAATAAATGGTTAAAATGGAATGCTGTTAGATTTTGCTAATACACTTACAATGTAAAGAAATATGAAAAAGAAATCGAATCCAAAATCTGAAGAATTCTGGCAAATTTCCTAATGTGTTACTAAATTTACAATTTTTAGTGCTGTGCTCACTTTGGCATAGGTACTTTGTGATTAATGCATTAAAATTGTGCTCATCGAATAGTGTTATGTCCAGTCAAGTGCTTTTTCCGTACCTCTTTTTGTGAAGAAATTGATTATTTTACTAGATTAACCAAAATTGCACTATATTTAAAATATTTTTCTCATTTAATTCAATAGGGACAGCTTAGCTGGCCCAAAAGTATAACACATTTTAATCTGGAGTTTTCTGGAAGATAGCAAAAATGTCATTTTGTAGCACTTCATTTTTAATACTGAAATATCTTTTTTTGATTATCAGGAAACATTAATTAAGTGAGCTTGACACAAACTCAAACATATATGTTATGGAAAGGTCTTAAAGAAACGTGAGTTATTCTGATCATGTGCTAACTACTTATAGTCTGTTATATGAGTTATGCTGGTGTTATCATCATGAAGAATAAACTCTCAGTGGAAAAATAGAGTCAGTCAAAATGCATGTGGGGACATCAGACTAAGAGAGAGACTAGAAAATGTTTGAGCTTTCTTATTGCTGCGTGTGCCAGTGATTGATGTGGCTAGATCAAGAGACACAGTTACTGAATACAGTTGCTGTCTTCAACATGGTGTTTGTGTCACATTTTCTGAGGTGAAGTAAAAATAATTGGGTGTGTATGATACACTATGATGAGCACGTGAAGAAATAATGCATTTAAACTAAAAAAATTTTCTTAGCTAAGTGTCACACTGATATACTGCAGAAAATTCAGTGTAACTTTGAAAAACCAGGTGTTTGGTTTTTATACAGTGTAGAACCATGAGCTCTTCTTTTAGTCCTCTGTTCGTATTTTCTGAAAATAGTCTAGTTTCCCTATGCTTAACTTGAATTGGAAGTATAACTATTAGCAGTTGCCTAGGTGGTTATAAGTTGCAACATTTGTGTGTGTGTGTGCATATTTAGAAGAGATGATCAAAAATTGTTGCAATGGAGAGTCAAAGATGTCACTATTTTTTCTTTGTAAATGTTTATAAGTGCACACAACTCCAGAAAGCAAAATAACTGTGGGTACATTTGATTTTGAGACCTTGTTCCCACTTGAGTTATTCAAATAAAACTCATGGATTTTCATCAGGTTATCAGAAGTCTAATTTTTAATCATCAAAAGGAACTAATAATGTTTAATAAGTAAAGTTATGAATACAGTGATTCTCAAAAGCATTACTATTTTAGAAAAATCTTAGGTTCTTTTACTCATTCACATTTATCAAAAGAGGATCTTTTCTAACAATATGTCTTTGTTTGCAATGATGAGAATTAATTAATATGGTTCAGCCTAATACATCTTTCCAGAACAACACTTGGCAGGTGAACAATAGTGTCTTATGCAAGTGCTTGTGTTGTGTCATGGAAGAATTAGATGGTGTATCATTCTACAGTCTCCCCCACCTAAGTACTTAGATCTAATTCTGAGTTATTCATTGGATTCAATATTCTAAAATATACTTTTTATAATTATCTCAAATTTTCTTCTCAAATTTTCATTTTTTATTCTAATGCTAATATTTATAGATGTACTATAATTACTACTATTTTTGTGTAGGTATATATCTGTATAACAAACCCATCCATAGTTTTCAAAGAGGAAATGTACTTTATAGACAAATATAAGTCTACATACTTCCAAAGTACACATACATGTAGAGAAAAATGATAATTTCTTGAGTTTTAATAGAAAATGATTTTTTAATGTAAAATTCTTTCTAAGGATCATTTGAGCAATTAACATGCTGTTTTCTAATCTTTTAGAATCATGCTCCCATAACAACAATGAAAATTTCATCCAAAAAGGTAAAAACACAACTATTTTTATGTTTTTTGCATATTAAAACGTTTGCCCTTATAAAAAAAGTATTTTGTAACTTCTGAAAATTAGTTTTAGTGCTGACAAAATAAATAATAATGCTTAAAGTATACCACAAATCACTTTTAATTGATGTAGAATTTATTAGTTATTAGTGAAAGAATGAATAAGTTTATTTTTGTATAAAAGTCAGAGTAGAACATATATACAGCAAGATATTTCAACATTTTTATATCCTATATTCTCAAATATTACAATGTGTAAAGCCAACTAAAATAAAAATAATCTTTCTAAGGGAAGAATTTAACATAATGTTTGGGCTACTATCATATCACAACATTCTCAGGGGCTTGAAATGAGTACTCAATCCTCTTTTAAGTTTCTGCTGTTGTCACATGTTTGAAATGTGCAGTGCATTCTTTTGTGCTTATTTTAAAGGAAATGCTATTTCCTAGGGTTTATACATGTCAATAAAAAAATAGAAAGTCTGAAATCTAAGGGTTCAGGATTTGGGGAAGAAATATTTGATTATGATAATCAGAAATCTTCTAATTAATCCTCTAATTTGTGTCTGCCCATGCAAATATACAATGATTTTAAAAATGAAAAGCCCGATTTCAATATCAACGTGTGCAAAATATGTACCTCTCCAGCCCCTAAAGATGTTATCTTAAAACAAAAGTTCTAAGAGTCAAATATAGTCAAAATGGAGTAGGCTTCAGAGTAGGATTGACATACATTTGATTTCCAACCTGACGATAAAGTATAGACAAATCGTTTAAGTTCACTGACCTAAGTTTCTGCATCTACAAGATAATGCCTTTCTTACAAACAGATTAACTTATATAAAATGCGTAAAATAAAGTGGGTCCTCAGCAAATGCTGTTTGTAAGAGCCTGAGACTTATTTTTCTTGGAAAACAGAATAAAGGTTTTATGTGTTAGCACAACTGATTACATAATTTTAGCACTCCTCACCATATTTGATCTGTTAGAGATCAAGTATTATTTCATAGTTAGTCTTATACTCTGTTCCCTCGACTGAATTTTATGAGGAAAAATAAATAAGGTACAACGGAGCTAAAGATCTCATCTGTAAAAATGTTTGTATGGTGCATAACAAACATTTTCCCAAGTAACAAGAAGCCATTTGTCATTTTGTCTAATGTCCTAGGGAGCTGATCTCAAGTCAGAATTGTCTTTGAAGTCAGCAGGGAAGCCTTTTGTTTACAGTAGTTTAATGGAAAGGGAAAATATCGGAGCAAAATTTACAATAGACACAAAGCCATTTGTGTGGCATAGTTGTCCTGTATACAAGTTTCAATTTATTAGTAGTTTACGTATTATGTCTGCCTTCAACATCTTATACTGTAGATAATTGAAAATGTTTCATTAAAAAAATTAGATTCAAGGTAGGGGTAATTATTTGACTCTTTGGAATTCATTTACACAACTGGATACTGCATTATTTTTTCAGTATGAGAGGACTACAAATTGTTGTATGTATACATATTTAAATACCTTTATATTTTTATATAAATTTAAATGCCTTTCTTAGTGTTTCCTATTTTATCAATTTTGTGCACTTTTTTTTAAATATTCTTGTACTATATATATAACAGAAAATAGTAGGATTAATAAAAAAGATATCATCTAGGACAAAACTACCTGTGTCCTTTCCTCAAAAAATTAGCATCCCTGAAGTATTTTAATGAAGTTGATATATTCACTAGATTATTCACTAATTTCCTGAATAAACACTTACTTCGATGTTGCTAAACAAATTATTATTGTCAAAACATGCAGCATTTTTCTTGTAATTTGGAAGTCTCAACTGGAGTCAATTTCATCACAATTTCTGAAAAATAAATTGATCTAGATAAAATAATTTCATTAGACAGAATGAGAAGTGATTGAAATGATTGATTAGATTTAAAAACATGTGGTTTGATAGTTTGTTAATTGGTATTTTACTCTTCTATTACCATTAATTAACATTCATGAAGCACCTCTGACCCAGAAACTATTCCAAGTTATGTGGACACAGCCCTTATAACATTTATTTCTTATAAAAACTCTATAGGGTATCATCTCAATTTTATTAATGAGGAATTCGAGATTCAGAAAAGTTACACAGAAAGTTTGTGGCTTCTGAGATTTGAATACAAAAAGTTTGCCTCGAAAGCTCCAGACCCTGGTGCACCAATGACGTCTCCATAAATTTAATTTTTAAATGTAAATGTATATATGGGTGCACATGCTCCCTCTCACCTGCATCTAGTCAAGTTCCGGCTCAGAGATTCTATGCTAGCTTGAATTATAGAATATCAGCCCTTTGGAAAATAAGGAGTGTCAATTGGAAACTCATTCCTTCTACTACCAAGGATCACTTTATACACAGCTAAAGGAATCAGAGCAGTATCTTAAGAAGCTGTTGACACCCTACAAATGAAAGAGGATGAAATTTTTATTCATGACTTACTTAGGGTGATGAAGATCCCTGGAGCAAACAGAGATTTTAAGACGTTTAAATATAAATATTATATTTTTCTAAATAATTTTAATATAGTTTTAATGAATAATATGCCACGTTCAAAAGAATGTGACCAAAATATTTTTTCATTTTTTTCATTTCATTTAATACTTACTACTTATCATTTTTTTCTTCTAAATTAAAAATGCCCTTTATTTTGAACCTGACTTTTTCAAATCTGCAAAGTAATGTGTTGCCAGAGTTGAAAAATAAGAATGCTTCCTTGTACTTTGGTAAGAGACAGCACTGAAAGAAAAAAAGAAAACATCATAATTTAAATCTGTAATATATTACCTCAAATCTGAGAGAACAATGAATCCCAATGTCTAAAACACATTACCATTCTACATGGTGCTCTGGGCCTTTTTTTAAAACAGGAAAGTGGTAATGTTATAGGCATATTAACGTAGGGAAATTCTATTTATTTTGGCTTTATACCCTTCTGTGCTTTGCTTCACGTTTTTAGTCTGTTTCAAAATGAATCCAAGGGTTTGTGGGCATATATTGTAATGTGTTCCTGCTGAAAGTCTTCTTTTAACTTCCACATCTGAAATAAATCATCATCTCTCTAATAGCAACAGTTGTATGTGAGCTCCAATGAAGGGGTTTCCCAAGTGTCTCTGCACCGCTGCCACATCTACGGCACAGCCTGTGCTGATTGCTGCCTGGCAAGGGACCCGTACTGCGCCTGGGATGGCCATTCTTGCTCTAGGTTCTACCCAACTGGGAAGCGGTGAGTACTAAACATATAGCCAAAAATCAAAATGTATGTCGCCAGACAATACGTAAGTGCTCCATATTGTTAAAACCAGTTTTATTGCTGTTTTTTAAAATGACACTAAACATATTAGCTATTTTTAGCATCACACATAATGTTTGAATGAAGAAAATGGCAGTGCTTTATAACTTGAGATTCTCACGGAGATGTTAATTGTGGAGTACAGCACTTTGGAAAGATTTTTTCCTTTCTCAAAAAATCCTATGCAACACCCACTCCCCTAAGACCCACAAAATATTTCAACCATATTTAACTTTATTTTTTTGTGTCACCTAATCTATGTCTTTTTCGTTTTATATGCTTTAGTGTATCCTTAAATCCTACCTTCCTAGGATTTCTCTACATCACTTAATCATCTTGTAATCAAAGCCATGGTCTAGTTCAAGCTACTAGAGCATTGTTCCAGAAGGAGTACCCTGATTTGCTTTCAAACCTTGATGACCATGCTTTACCCTTAGAGTGGTGAGTGCACGATTGCTGGTTAGGTTGAGAAAGAAAGGCAGTCTGAGGCAGGGTGTCTTTTAACCAAGCAAAGTCTTAAGTAGGAAACTCTGTACCAACTTTCACCAAGTTAAAAGGAACCACCAGTAGAGAAATTGGTGGTAGAACAAAGAATATACAGAATTTAGGGTCAGCCAAGGTCACAGCTATTTTCAGTCATATAGTAATGTAGACCATGATGGGTGACTGGGGCAAAACCTTTAAAATTTTGGGTTAGCAGAAGAAACATACCAGCCATGAGCATCAAAGATCTTTCAAGTAAACTATTGGGATGATGGTGTTTTATAGCTTTTCTTCTCTATGTTCCTTTAAGGATCTTGACAGACTAAAACAACCCTAGCACTTGCACATATCAGGAGTATTATGATCCTTTTATTCATTAGTTCAGAAAATTGATCACAGGACAGATATTCCCCAGGCATTGTTTTAGATCCTAAGTAAGATGAAAAACAACAACAAAAAGGCAAAAGTCTCTCCTTCAGGTATAATAAATTCTAAAGGGGGAAAACATACAATAAATAAATAAGGAAAACTTCTAGCATATCAAATAATGATAAGGTTCATGAATTTACAAAGGGCAAAGAAGGTTGGTAGGACATGTGGGAAGCAGGGAGTTGCAATGTTAAGTGTGTAGTCAGGGAGGGCCCTACCGTAGGCATAGTGTGTGATCAAGGACTTGATGTGGAATAGCACCAAGGCATTATCTGGGTGAATAGCATTGCAGGGAGAGGGACCAGAAATCTCTAACATGTCAGGACTCTTCAAGAAACAGCAACAAAGCTGACGAAGCTATACAGAAATGAGAATAAGGACAGGTAGAGTCAGAATGTCAGATGATGTAGGACTTTGTAAGTAATTGAAAGGCTTTTATTTAGACTGAAATGAAAAATGACTGAGGGTTTTTGAGCCCACGAATTATATTATTGGTTTCAAAAGGTCACTGAAGCCCTGGAGTGGGGATTTTGTGGGAGAGACAAACTACAAGACAGGAAGCTACTGTAATACTCTAGGTAAAACATAATTGTGGCTTGCACAGGGATGACACAGGTACAGGTGGCGAAAAGTGATGTGATCTGCCCTTGATTCAACTCACACAATCTGTAGATGTTTTGCATGTGGTTAGAAAAACAGAGAAGTCAAAAATGATCCAGATTCTCAGAACTGAGAATATAGATGTCATTTCCTGAGAAAGCGAAGACTGAAAAGAGCAAGTTTGTGGGGAGAAAGATGATGGTAACTTAATAGTGTCTATGAGTTACTCAAGTGGGGATGTCGAGTAGGCAGTTAGCAATATGAGTCTGGAGTAGAGAGGAGTGGCCTCGGCTGGATCAGATGAGAGTCTCCTGAATTTAAAGTCATCAGAGGTGAAGAAAATTCCCACTCTTTAAACCAGGAATCTTTCTTGTATGTGTTCAAAGACACTATGTTCTTCTACATTATTTTAGGAGTTAGTGAGGAAGTCCATGACTTCTTTTTACTTCTATATAGAATTTCCAGATCTCATTGCTCTGTGATCTTCTGCCTTTGTACTGGGATGGAGGAATGAAGCTGGACACAAAGTGCAAGGGAAGCAAATTCCAAATATAATGTCAAATTTAAAAAATGATTTTTGTGACCATTATTCATATTTCCCAACCGTATTTGTTTTGCACTCCCAAATATGATAGCAGTGATATCTTAAAGTTACCATGACTAAATGTTTGTAAGGAAGTATTTTTTCTTGGTAAGAAGCTCTAAAAATTGGCGTATTAAATACCTAGAATACAATCTTTAATCTATTAAGCAGATTTGGTGCTGAAGGAAGCTATAGCACTACATTTTCCAAGGAAGAAAGTGGTGTGGAGACTATAAATGGGATGTTACTATAGTTCTATACCAGCTCTTATATAATGGAAGGGAATTGGAGATTAGTACACATTCCCCGCAAAGACCTTGGCTTTGACCAATAAACATTTTTATTTAACAAAGAATGTATCAAGTAAAATTCCATATTATATATAGACTATCCTTGCATATTTGAAATTTTTTTTATATTTTAGAAACTCCTGCTGAAATATGAGTTGGCTCATTTGTTTGCATATTCTCCCATCTATTACAACCCCAGTTATACTTTCTAAGATATGTACTTAAACATAGATTCCACATTGTCATCCTATCACCACAAACCATAATCTTAATGACATCTTCTTAATAAACAAAGAACTGAGACTATCTTGCAATTGTTTTACTGTTATAATATCATGCCTTATATTAAACCATTCATCATGGGTTGAGAAAAAAGAGTTAACTATTTAAAGAACTATCTTGATTATCTCTAGCAGCACCTTAATTCTATCGTGAAGAGCCAGAAAATGCTATATATATAAAATACATGTGTGTGCCTACCCATATTCGTTTTTAACTAGCATACTGGATGTTTCACTAAAAATATCTATACCATTTAAATTATCCAAATTATTTCCAAACTTAGTTAAGGATATGTTTATAATAAATTCAAAGTGTGTTTGCTGAATGATTTTTTAAATTTCCAGATACAGTATTTTTTTTGAAATTAGTAGTAATGATGAAAATGATCCTTTGAAGTATTTTCCACATTGACTTTCTTTAATAGTGTTGACTTACCTGGTTTTACTCTGATTGTACTATCTATCTAACCAGAACACAAAGATCACTTAGCAATTCATAGGAATGTAAAGCAAAAACATATTCTTGTTTGGAAACAGACAAATACAGTTGTACTTGAAAATCAATGGAATTTATACTTTGACATAATACAGTTGTATCATTGGCTCAATAGTGTCTCTTTTTTTAAATAACTTGGTTCATAATAAACAATATAAGCATTTTTCCACTCTCAAGTATTTTAAATATTTGTGAATTTGTATCAGATATTTCGATTTAGTCTCTAATGTTATTATTTTGGATTCAGACATGTAGTTAGGAATTTTTCTAAAGACAAGATAATTAGTTCAATCTTCAAGTAAATATCTTTTCCATACAAGAAGAACATGATTTCATTGTTTATCCTAAGGAATTGACTATAATGGATGAAACATTGGCAACTTGAGCCAAATCCCAAATCCTACATGCAATATAATACTACTCTGCCTACCACCATATTTCTGTGATGGATGTATGAACACTTTGAAGGGAATCTACACATAGAAAAGGCTCAGATGGCTGCCTTGCCCATCTCATGTTGTAAGCCAAGCCATAATAATGTTTTTCTATATTTGAATGTCTGGAAGCTATGTGATACTGTAAATTCAGATTGTCCAGCTTGAGAGTTTGTAAATATGAGTAAACCGTGACATAGTGCTGATCACAGGACAGTAAATTTATCATCGTGAATGACATTGCTTGTCTAGATGGCTAAAAATGATGAGGCCAGCCATAAGAACTCTCACATGGTGCTGGTATACTCTCAAGTTGACTGGTAGTAAATAATGCTGTAATTTCAAAATATAGCAAATGCAATGCAGTAAAAACCTGATATGGAAGCTATTCTAGAATATAGTACAGTATTAATCATATTTCCTGTGATAAGAATGATTAACACTTCCCCTATTTTGTGTGTATGGTTGTACAGAAATATTTAATTAAAAAGTATCATGTGACGTTTTTTGGAAAAGGAATACTTAAGTTGTATAATACTTTATTTCCATATTTCCATGAATAGATGTATATGGTCCATTATGTACATAAAGTATTAACTCTTTTCTGTATTCTTAAATGAGTTTTTCCCATTATTGATGACTTTGAGATTAATTTTGCTTTGTAAGTTTAATAACCACTGTGTAATTTTAATATTTTTCTTCTTCTTGACATTAATTTATCTTTAAGGCAAAAATATTAAGAAAGACTTAACATTTAACCCGTGTAAGTGATGTGCTCATTCAAATATACTTTTCAGCATTGAGAGTAAACAATCATACTCCCAGTAATTACACAGAATCTACTTCCTTCTCACTTACAGCAATGTTTGTATCATGAGTCCTTGCTCAGAGGATTTCAGTTGCTCTATTTTAATTTGCTACATTATGTAATACAGTTGAAATGAAGATGCTCAGTGATTCTAAGATTCAGGAAATTACAAAGTTAGAATACAAATAATTCAAAACTTTTATTTAAATAATGAGCGACTTACAAAACATGCAAATAAATTTTTGAAATCCTTAAGCTAGTAGTACATAACAACTAAATGCAAAGAATGAACCTTGATTGGATCCTGTATAAGCTTTAAAAAATCCACATGGAATATTTTGGTCATGACTAGGGAAATTTTAATATGAATGCATATTAGATGATATTGTTGAATATTAATATTTTAGTATGCTAATGATGTTATGTAGAGAAATCATTTATTATTGGAAGATACATGCTAAAGTATTTAAGGGTGAAACATTATCATGTCTGCAACCTATTTTCTAAGGGTCTTCATAGATATGCATAAACAATATATACATGATATATACTTACATGTGAGAGAGAAAAAAATATGGCAAAACATAACAATTTGTGAATCCAAGTGTACCAGTGTTCATTGTACTTATATACTCACTTTTTCGTAGACTTAAAATTTTTCAAAATAAGAAGTTGGCAGGGGGGATGCTATTGTAATATTATAAATGATCAATGTTACTTTACCTTATATTAAATGTTTTATCTCTGTATCACTTGTTTCAGAAAAGTTTTAATGTATCTGAAAGTATTAGAAAATATTGACTTTTGTATTAAAAGTATGTTTATTTAAGAAAAACTATTATAAGAATGAAAATTCTAGTGAATATATACTTCAGAACTTATTTTAGTACTTTTTAGATGAATATCTCTAAACTAAAAATTTACACTGTTAATTTTAAAGTCTAGCATTTACCTGGGATATATACATAATGAAAGATTCATAGCCATTCTATCATGAGTAGTAGTTGGGGAGGGACTGAATTTATTCAGATTGAAAAGCAAAGATAAGTACCCACCCTATCATTAATGAATTAAATGAGAAATGTCAGATTGCTACATAAGATTATCAGACCTCTTAAAAAAAAAAATCTAATGGAAGCTTAGGCAATCAAAAGGACACTGAGTTAAAAATGCAGTGCTTTGAATGTGGTGTAATTGGCCATGATAATTCTAAATCATTTTTATATATTTCTGCCCCTACAGGAGGAGCCGAAGACAAGATGTGAGACATGGAAATCCACTTACTCAATGCAGAGGATTTAATTTAAAAGGTATTAAAACTGAGCAATGGTCCATCCATAAACAGTAGCAATGCTACCTGTCACATTTCAGTAAGGGAAACATTGCAATAGATTCAAGCCTTTCATTTTCAAGAAAGACTCACTGTGAAAATTTTTGGTATTCATGTATGGTAATTAAAATTTAAATGTTATTTGTATGTATATTAAGCGTTATGAAAAAACAAATGTCTGAGAACACCTGTACTTCTATGTTAGTTGGCAGGTCTTTCACACGGATGATAATTACAGATTTTCTTAGCAACTATTTTCTTTCTGAAGAAAAATCATTTTACTTTTTAAAATTTACTATTGAAGAACACATTGAAGAGCACTTTTTATAATTACAGTAAATATACATGTTAGGGTGTGAGCTTCAATACATAACATAAAATTTACTACTGTAACCATTTTAAATCTATAGTTCTGTGGCATTAAATACATTCACATTGTTTACAACCGTATTACCAGCCATCTCTAGATATTTTCATCTTCCCAAACTGAAGCTGTGTATACATTAAATACTAACTAACCATTCCCTCTCCCCTCGGTCCCCTAGCATCTACCATTCTACTTTCTTATGAATTTATGATGAATTTGATTATTCTAGGCATCTCATATAAGCTGAATCATACAATATGTGTTCTTTTGTGACTGGCTTATTTTACTTAGCATAATGTATTCAAGGTTCATTTGTATTTTAACATGTATCAGAATTTTCTTCATGTTTAAGATTGAATAATATTCCATTATATGTATATATATACATTTTGTTAAGCATTTTTCCACTCTCAAGTATTTTAAATATTTGTGAATTTGTATCAGATATTTCGATTTAGTCTCTAATGTTATTATTTTGGATTCAGACATGTAGTTAGGAATTTTTCTAAAGACAAGATAATTAGTTCAATCTTCAAGTAAATATCTTTTCCATACAAGAAGAACATGATTTCATTGTTTATCCTAAGGAATTGACTATAATGGATGAAACATTGGCAACTTGAGCCAAATCCCAAATCCTACATGCAATATAATACTACTCTGCCTACCACCATATTTCTGTGATGGATGTATGAACACTTTGAAGGGAATCTACACATAGAAAAGGCTCAGATGGCTGCCTTGCCCATCTCATGTTGTAAGCCAAGCCATAATAATGTTTTTCTATATTTGAATGTCTGGAAGCTATGTGATACTGTAAATTCAGATTGTCCAGCTTGAGAGTTTGTAAATATGAGTAAACCGTGAC